CTTGTTATGCCGGCTTTCTGTTAAGATGGCTGCGCAAAAAATGTCTCTGCACCATCTCTCTGCAACTCCTGAAAGCATCCCATCAGGTTTTTCTGAAATGATTTGATGTGAGCAGAACAAGCTTCAGTTGAAATTCCTAGATTGCTCTTCCCTGGCAATAAAGTCACAGGGCTGCATGGCGAGGCTTCATTCCCACATGTCACATGTGCTCCTCTTCCCAGTCCTCATTTAGGCAGGCACATCCAAACTCAAAGCCTCAAAACAACCATGAACCTAACACTATGCCTCCTCGCCCTTGGCGATGTCTCTCGTAGCAATGACTAAAGCCTTCCGCTCCCTGCAGCATGTCATCATGATCCATGCCAGCTGCTTTTATCAGTTGGGCTTCACCAGGATTTTTGGTGCAGTAGGCTGCGTAGGGCGTAGGAAACTGGGTCCCAGTTCGGGTGTCCTCAAGTAGAACATCCTCACATGTTCGATATAGCTGCTGGGCCTGCAATTCTTGAAGACTACCATGGGGTTCTCCTTCCTTAATGAACGTAGAATGTTTTTTTGCGGGGCCAATTCGCGGCTGGTAGATTTTGAGCGCTGCATGGCCCCACCCCTTGGCCCTAGGCCTCCTAAGCTGGCATTCAAAGAGCCCCACGGTGTTGTCAGGTTTTCCTGAGATGGCCTTTCTCTAATCTTTCAAATCTTTCGAGAAAAAACCTTGGTAGGGAATCCTTTCGGGCTCCGGAGAAAGTCCTTAGATATAAAGCTCATTGTCCATGATGGGCCAGAGTAGAGCTGAAAACCCATCAGAACGATCCCAACTACTCCTGTAATCGTCAGACATGAATATTTGCAGAGCATGGCCTTTTGAGCTTGACAAACTTGACGTTGTGACGACTGGCGTCGGCCTTATCAGAATCTCAAGGCCAACTGCCTAAATCCCTAAACCCAGGACAATGCAAGGACAGGCTCCAGCCCCAGAACTCTACAGCCCAAACACCTTGCAAGGAACAATGCAACTTCTGAAATTTCAAGTGGATCGTGACCGGTGGTTGAAATCAAATGGCTGTCTCACAAGTGACATGCGCAGCATGGCCTGCCAAATCTGCATGCATTGCACTAGAAAGGGTTTGGAATCAACATCTTGCCGGCTCAGTACTGTAGGGTCAAAGGACAGGGTATTCCAGCACAGACAAATCGTTGGCACTTTGGCTTTCGCGCCGGCTTCTTCACAGCATGGAGTAATGAGACCAGCTAGCTGCCACATGCCACGCTCCGCGAAAGGTCCTGGTAGGGTTTTTTTACCTGAAGAAGTCCTCGTGCTGGTCATCGACATACACAAGGCTGATGTTTCATGAGGACGTCCACGTGCTTGCGGGACTTGCAAAAAAACATCTAAACTTATGTAGCTCTGTAGATACACGGAATTTTCTTAATGCACCATCAAACGGCTCCAACACCAACCATACCTACCTTACAGACCAGCACAGGTGTCATCTGCTTTCATTACGGCTGTAACATCGGCGCCGCTTCAAACTGCTTATGCTTGGACGTCCTTGCATGGATTCTGGTCCACTCCACAAACTTCAGCCTCATAGATATTGGCGACGCCAAGCATGAAGAATCTTACTCGCAGAACGTTCCGACAAAGGCATCGGGGCTGTCGTGGACACAGCGTGCTTTGGGTTCGCAGGGCTCTTTTGGCATGACTTTGACATGCGGAGGCCGCAGGGGTGAATTATACACTTCCGCCTAAAATATCTGAACACAACAAGGATTTATGGGACTATGTCGTCCCCGATGTCTGCATGAACGGGCGATCTGACACGTAGTTCGATCGAATTCCTAGAAGCTGGCAAGGAGCAAGCATGACGCATGCAGAGACGTGGATTCTCGACGCCAAAAAGGTATGACAATTTGCTGCTGCTGCTTCTTCTTCTTCATAACTCTTTTTAGGGCTTTCGGAGTTCTGAGCCTGGGTCAAGCTGACTGAGGCCCCCGGCGTGATCGTTGATGTAGCGGGCAAGCACTTCCGGATGATCTGAGGCGTCAATACCTCGGCCCAGGCCATGAAATTCCATGAACCCTGCTGTCCCAAGGAATGGCCCTGATCGTCCTCGTATAGCCCCCAGAAGTTAGAGCCTGACTTCAGGCATGAGTCCTCTGCTCCGCGCTGCCAAGCTTAACTCAGGAAGCTTAGTGCTCCGCAGGTGGGAAAAAGAATCACACTCAGACGAACGTTGCAAGCCGAACCTACGGCAACGGTCCATGGCGAACAAGGTGCTGTACACTCCGAAGCCTCCCATCAGGTAGTCCTTGTTGTCAATATCTCCTCAGTTCCATGCCCTTGTTAGTGGTACCCTAGGACCCTACAAAACACGCAGGCAACCAACCACATGCTGTCGAGGCTTCGATGTTTTTGTTGTTTCATATGCGTCAGCCGAGAACATGGAAAACATGACATTCTTAGACCTTGGACCGCGGAACCTGCAGCCTTGTATCTCTGATTTCAGCTTGGTTCTGAGCAGACAGTTGTCCCTGCAAGCCTGAAGTAACCCACAACCTGTGGCAGCAACTACGCCGGCCTCTCAAACAGCAAAACTGTTAATGTCCGCAGAAGGACTCAGTCGCCACTGTCCCCTGAAAAACCCTGAGCCCTCAAAGCATTTCCAAGCCACTTCCACTTCATGAAGTGAATTGACTTGAAAAGGCTGTTACTATGACAGGGCAATACCCCTTCCTATTATACTGGAGGCCTGACTTCCTGAATACTGCATGCTGCGTAATCCTCAACCCACCCAAATCCTCATCGGCTTCACAAAGGAGCCGTCTGCCCCTGTCACAAGACGAACAGCACCAACCGGGATAGCATGGAAGCCTGAATACCTCGCTGCAACCACATATAACTTGCTTGTACTGCACCTAGCCTACACCAATCCATTCCTTCAAAACATAAACCCTGCGCGCCCTCACACCCAATGTTCTCTTAAAAGACTCAAACATGTTCGGGAACATGATGGAACATATGGACATTAATGGGGGGCAAGAGTTACCCAAATCCCCGGCCCTGCCGGCTGACAAGCAGCCGCGTAAAACACGCGCCAGCGGCACCAGGTCGCCTGCATCAGCACACGTCTCCGATCGCGAGTTTTGGAGCTGAAAGATTTGGCACATGGAGGATGTTGAGCCTAAGGGCTTGGGGTCAAGGTAGTTCGGGCGTTGAGGGTCTAGCATTTATGTGACGGGCTACGGGGTTTCTCTGTATTGCGGGGTGCGTTTAGGGAGTCATCTAAGCATCATACGGAAAGGTTTTATACGGACTGTACCCAACAGTACAGTACGAGAGGGCTCTGGTGCTGTCAGCTTCGACCCTGCACAGCTTCTGCAAGCCACATCCTTTCCATATCTTCACCAATATATTGGACCAACATTTGCACTGAAAACGGCTCTACACAACATAGCATACTGCGCCATGCAGCGTAATGCCTAACAGGCCAAGAGCGACACGCCATTGACAAGCATGGTCAACCTGGACCCAGCCCAACTCAGCATCCAGCCATTTGAACTGACAGGGCGATAAGTCCTCAACCCTTTTTCCAGCACGCAATTTCCAGTGCACTGCTACAGGAACTCAATCATCCCTTCGTACATCCAGCCCAGGTCTCCCAATTGCTAATGACTGCTAGCCTCGATAAACACAGAGCAACTCCTCGGCAAGGAAGTTGCCTGGCGGATCATTCAAGGCCTGCCTCTGACTGGTGCTTAGATCTGAAGGTTGGGAGTGAGTTGAGGGGTCGGTTTGCAGATATGTCACGCACATATGTCACGCACACGTGCATGTGCACCATATAGGACCAACGTTTAGAGCTTAAGGGAGAAAGGGGGGGAATGTAAATTCTGTTGAAGCCCCGAACGACCCCAACTGGGCAAGTGGCGTTGGGCGAAGAGCCCGAGCCCAGCGTTCCGGATTTTGGACGGCCGAGCCTGGCCCCAAGAGCGGCACGCGGGTCGCACTGCAGGCAGGATTGCTGTTTCAGGGCCCAGGTAAAACCATGCATGAGCACTCAGCGGGTCCCAGATGAAACCACCAAGCGCCAATTAAACCCCTATCAGACCCCAATCCCAACCACTCGAATAGCCCATGCTTCCTACCACTACTGGCTTCAGGCAGGACACATCACAACTGGAAACGAGCCGACAGAAAATTCACGTTGCTCGGATTTGGACTTCGGGGCCTAGGTCCTCCCAAATTGCAGATACTGATGGGAGATGCAAGAAGATGATGGGAGATGATAATGTAGGGGGTCTCCAAGCAAGTTCAAGGCTTGCATACACCCGGAATCATGATCTCCTTAGTACTGTGGCCACACATTCTGAGGTCACCAGCATAGGGCCCTACTTTGGATAACGGTCCACACGCATAACATTGGGCGTGATTGAGATAATGAGCACAACATCTAAAAGCAGAATTGGTACGGGAGTTTCTCAAAAAAACCTGGACGTGCCCTCTATGATCCTTACATACTCCTCAGGTAAGAAACCCACATACAGGGCAAAACCGACCAGGCAGCGCTCATGATAGAACTTGAGGGGGCATGGGTGAAACTGAAGACTCTGCAACCAGAAGTGGTGCCAATTCCTGGACCAAACTCCGACCAAATTCAGCGATGTCTTGCTGGAGCCAACGTTGTGAAGAAGCTTTGGGAATCGGCGACTAGCATGGCGAACAGACCCCGACGTTAACCTACTAGCCTCAACCCCCAAAACCTGCCCAGACCTAAATAAAAGCTGAACGAAAATCCTCAACCCCCAAAACCTAAAGCATCTTAAAGCGTCATAAAATCTCCTCTGTCCGGAGGCTGCACCTCGAGGTCACGGGCATCCCCGCGCCTTACTTTGGAACAGTTCGGTTGAAGAAGGATCTCGCCCAAACTCCCAAAACCCAACACACTCTATGATTCCTTCTTCGGTTCCTTCTTGCATCTCGCGTCACATCGGCTTCTAATTTTCTAGCCGCAGCACAGGAAGGTCACGTAGAAGTCCAACTTCCCGTTGGGATGAAGCTCCGCCGCCTGACGGAGTGTACAGGGTTTATAACGGGGAGATACAGGGGTATACTATACAGGGTTTAGTGCATGTATAACCTATAACCCACGGGCCACCACAGAAATTCTTTGCTCGTGGTGCGTATGCATTAGGTGCACGAAAGCGGTAGAGAGGACGACTGGGAGGCTCATGTTCAATGTAACCTACGTCTCACTGGCTCGACAGAAGTCGAGGAGTGGCATCCGGACAGGCACAGGTTAAGCCTAGAACCAATCAGTCACAGAACATCAAACACGAAACCACTATCCGTTTCCATCCTGCTGCTTGACTTCTGCGGAAAGCCTAGCCCGTCGGAATACCCCATCGCGGCTGCTGTAGCTTGATTCCCTGAATACGACTCTCGGCAGGGGCTAGGTTTTTCTTGAAGCCCCTGACAGTCCAGCGCCCCTTGCCTGACAGACAACACGGCGGCACTCAAGAACAAGTGATGATACTTAGTGTACAGATAAGGGTAGTAACGAACCAACTGCACATCAAGGTAGGTTTGGATGCCATGAGGTAATATCCCAAACAGGGGCTGCTTGTATAAAGTGAACTCCCCAAAAAAAGAAAGCTGGGAAGTGCCCAGCAGAATCTCTGCAATGATCCCCGTTATTCTACCCTGAAATCCACTCTTGACGCAAAACCAACATCCAAAAGCCCTGCATCGAATCCAAGAATGCGCAAACGTTATTCGAAAACCCCCCATACCGCCCCTGCCTGTACTCAATGGTACATGAGGCAAAATAGACTGCTTCTTGCCTCCGTGAGCCCTCGAAGCCGCAATTGGCTCTTGAGAGCTCTCTCCTGGCTGTGGCTTGGCATGGCTTCAGGATCTTTGCCGTCCCTCAGGATTGAAAAAGTTTAGATGTTGCGCCTCGCGCCGTTGTTCTAGGAAGCTTTGGACTTGGCAATTGGGAGGTTAAGGTTGAAGGGAGGTGCTAATTCAGGGCCTTAAGACTTGGGTACTTGCTACTTCGGCGGTTCGCCCATATTGCCTACCTTCACTGAGCCAGATGAACGAAATGTGGCATCTGGGGCAAAGATGCGCTGCTATTCTGAAGGTACCTCCCATCAAACCCTCCACAGTGTTCAGCATTTGGGGTGTCCTTGTGGTGACTGCTCAATTTGCGGCAACTGAAGCAATTCCGGAGGCTGGGTGCTGTGGGTTCAAAGATGAGGACCAGAGGAATGCCCTTTTGATGGAGGCAGCTTTACATCAATCGCTGGATGAGGTCGGTGTCGGGCTTCTCCCCTCGTGGCAGCAACTTCCGGCTCTGGGTTCAGCGAAAACAGGAGAGGATTTCTAGCCACGATTTGCATAAGTGTGTAGGTGTTGCATCGCGATTAGGATTTTGAAGGAGAAAAATAAAAGGATATGAACTTTCCCGTTTTGGGCAGCGCGTATGAATCAGAAGCCACCTGCAGCGTGGTGCTGTCGGTCGAGCTGAGGGCAGCCCATTCTCCAGGAAAGTGCATCCGCAACTCCTGTCACTCCTAGTTTGGGTCCCAGGGTTTACGCCGTTCTCGCAAGAGGGCTGAGGGTTCGCTACTCTTTCCCCTTGTTCTATTGAGATGAAGGAATGGGTTTTCTGGGGGGCGCATTCCTTCAGCGTAGCCTCCAAGAAATCTGGCAGGCAGGTTCCTGCTTCCACGATTGCTGTTGTTACAACATCCGGAATCCCAGATAACATTGAGACCTCGCAGGAAGCCCTTGGCTACGCTCCTTCGGTAACTTCCCTGTGTAGCAGGAAGACCTGCAAACAGCAATCTTCATACTTGAAAGACAAAAACGGGCCCCGGTGACGACCTCGCTATGTAGGCGGTATACGAGGACTATATTAGGGCCATACAAAAGGGTACTAGGAGAACGGGTCTCTTCTAGGGGGCCTCCTAAGAGCCCCTGCAGAATAATCATGACAACCGCAACTCTAAAACAAGCGGAGGCTGTTGATGTCAGTAACCGTAAACACCCTCCCAAAGTTGCGAACCCCTCCCTGAAACCGCCACCTTGTGCAGACTTCCTGGATCGCACAATGGCAAGACTCTATACTTGACTCTTTTTTGCCAGGGGCCGCTTGAAGTAGATCCCGGGTCGCATCGTCCCGCTTTTGAGACACTGCATTCAGATTAAAACCGCGGCCGGTAAGCCCACCCACACCAAAACTCCTCAAGACCTCGCCAGGTGGCCGGGGGCCAGGCACTCTCAAGCCCCACGAAACCTCACACGACCTTCATTTCAAACCCCTACCCCACATGAGACGCAACTCCAGCAAACTCTTGAAAACCTTCTGTATCTTACTCTTTCAAGTCCACCGCGCTCTCCACCCTAGAACCCTAAACTCTAGCCAGCCCCTTCAGGAGCAATGTGTGACCCCTCCGGGACCTCCTCAAGGCCCAAGGGTTTCGCTGGCTCTGCCCGCGGGGGCTCCGCAAGTTCCGGGGGCTCCAGAAGCTCCGGGAGCTCCGCACGCCGCCGGCATCCCAGGCGCTTCCTTTCAGAGATTTCGAGAGCTTTTGGAGGGTGGAGTGCGTGTCTTTTGGAGGTATGTTCCGGGCTCATGAGCCTTTCACTTCCTTACGGAGGGGTAGCCCATGAGACTAGAGACTCTAATGCCTTTTAAGGCTTTGGATCATGCAAGGAACCGGAATCTCTGTACAGCTCTGGACATCTCACGTTGTACGCAAAATTTTATACACATCATCCAAAGACTAGCTTGCAGGCGTGCGGATATGTAAACGACTGTAGCAAAACGCAAGTCCATATCCAAACATTCCACTCGCTGCCTAAGGCTCACTTTAAATGCAGCTCGAGCTACGCATGAATCAACCTCCACCCCTCTTGAGTTCTCCGTCTAGCCAATACCACAAGCTTTTAAGTAAAATCGGAGAACGGGAGTTGGAAAGAAGCCTTACATACATCTATATATATGATATGTACACAATCAGAAAGTACCCTCCAAAAAAAAACAGGTTTAGAAAATGTTGACTGCTTTGTTGACAAAACACTGAGCGCAAGGAAATGCTCCAGAACATGTAATGCACTGGCTTTGGGGGGGGGGGGAGGGGGTTGTATGCTCGGGATTCCATGGTTTCAGCAGGGCCCGGAATCAAATGTAATCAAGGATTTATACGCTTGGAATCAGCTCAACACCCGGGCACCCAGGATTCCAGCATTTCGGTATCCGTCCAACTTGAATAACGGATTTGTACAAAAACCTGAACAAGTCAAAAACCAGGAGTCCAGGATTCCAGATTTCGGTATCCACTCTGAGTGACTTGACTCAGGGATTGTGTTTTGGACAGGAACCAGTTCCAGAATCAGCAATCCAGGCTGTCGGTATGCCTTCAATTTGCATCACTCAGCCTTCGGGAGCTCGTCAAAAAAAGAGGCCTCAATAATTTTGGATCCTGAACTCGAACAAGATTGAGGCCTCTGCGTGCTGAGGTCCCAGGGCCGAACACGCTGAGAAGCCTCAATCTTTTTCAATCCCGAACCTCAAATACCAGAGTCCCAAAACGGTGAGAGACCCCAATCTTTTCAGATGCTGAATGCCCAAAGCATTGTCGCCTCCCAGCGTTTTTGCACAAACATCCTGAAAAGATTGAAGCTTCTCAGCGTTGCAGAGCTCCCAGAATCCCAAAACAATGAAAGGGCTTGAATCGGCTTGAAACCTCTGAGCACTTTCGAGCTCCCACATCCAAAAGCACGAGAGGCCTCAATCTTTTTGCGCCCAATGCGCAGTTTCAGTATTCTGCCACTGAATTCCACTAAAAAGTAATCTCTCCAACTAAGTAATCAAATAATATACTGACAAAAAGGAGAAGATTCCTGATGAACTGAGCAAGTAGCCAATCAGGTGGAACTTAGGCTGCTTGATACGACGCGAGTGAACAACAGCAAGTAATAACCAAGGAAATCATGGAGTCCCGCATTCCAATTTCATGTCCTTGCAACTTCGTCATCTACTTCATTTCACAAAAACCAAATACACAAAGAAAAGCCCAGTGAATCAAGGGAGATCCCACATGCTCGCCACATTTTCTTTTGAACTCTTTTACGAGTATCAAAAACCCTTTAGAGAAGTCTGAGAAAATCCAATAAAGATGCAACTTGAAAGGCTCAAAATCTGAGTCTTTGAGGGCCCTAGCATGTGTATATATGTGTGGGCTTACATCCTGCCACATCCTAAAGAACGAGCACTCGCTCACACACAAAGACAGACACCAATGCTCAACCCCAAACAAACCCTAACCCCCAAACCATCAACCCTCAACCACTGAAACCAAAAATCTGCAGCCCAGCAACTGGCAGCCCACATGGCCGCCCATGGTGTCGTCGAGGTCATCGACAAGGGCTTTGTACCCCTGTCCTAACCTATGAGAAACTATTTTCAGGTAGGGCCTAGGCGGCTTCTACTACAATTGGCGTCTGTAACAAGTCACCATGTAGGAGTTTCTCAAAGAGGTGGCTCTCCCGATATGGACCCCTCCCCTGTTTCATAGGATGCCTCCATCCTAGCCCCGAGTCCGGGGCTGATCCTTGCACAGCATTTCGGTACATCACCATTCACTGAAACCCATCAAGAAAACCATCGCCGCTGCTCCCATGAAAAGCGTGATGTGACTTGAGGAAATGCCGCCAGTCCCTAGCAGAGACTTGCCTTACTCTACCCTGCTACAGTGCTCCTGAATTTGATCTTGGGAAGACGCGCCTTCCAGCCTGAAAGGAAGTTAAAAGCTTGATCCAACATCGAGGCAGGCACTTCTCCCGGGGTTCATCATGCGGTGATAAAGGGATTCGGCAAAAACCAGGACTGGTAGGGTAGTTCACGGGACGTCAAGGAATTTTGGGTCCCCTCCCCAAAAATCTTTACATTGAAAGAGGGACGGAAGCTCTATCTTGTCGAAGATGTTTGCAGCAGTTGATGCTGTCTTAGTCTGGTGCCCTGCAGATGAAGTCCAGATTCCTATTCTCATCTGGAAAAGCTAGACCTGATGGAGAACCCAACATGTATGCATCTTTAGGCCCAAGGTCTGCGAACGTCACGCTGTTGTATGCATGTAGAGCTTTACGGTTCCAACTCTTGCATAGCACAGAAAACACAACTGAAGCGTACAGTTAAGATTTGCAGCTATAGCCCTGCAGATACCTTTTTGCCATCTGGACTATGTCGCCCCATCCAGTCTGTCTAGAAACCTCCAGCAGCCCTTAATGATACGTGCCAAGGAGACCTCACCAAGCTGAAGGCCAACCACCTAATGGCAGGCACGGAAGGATCCCCGGCAGTTTTCCAGAATGGGTGCCTCGTCACTCTGGCACACTCTGGCGTCGCTGTGTCAATCCAGAATGTTCTTAGGTCGGGGGCCTCCTCAAAACGGTTTCCCGGTTGCTGTGACAACATCTCCCAAAAAATATCCCAAAAGAGGTATGATGTACTTTTGAAGCAATCCCGAACCTCACACCTTTCAGAAGGCTAGCGCTGCAGAAGCCTTTTACGGGGTCTTCCAAAAGACAACACACATGATCGAAACGTACCAGCGCCGTTTTCATGTCGCGAGGGGCTTGATCTCACGGACGGCCGAACAGGTTCAGGACACCGCTTTTGGGACCATGACCCGATCGTGGACGCCGCCACAGCAGATCAGAAGTAGCGAGTTGTCTGGGTTTTGACAAGTGGAGGCAAGGCACGCTGAAGACTTACCAGGTCATCAGGAGATGTACCTCGGAAAGCGGTCAGGCTGGAGATCTGCCGCATATCGTAATATCGTATACAGCATTGGCTATGCCCCGAGTAAACCCAAACTGACAAACCCCACATCTCTTCCCCAAGCCTCTTGCTATAAACTTCCGCATGCGAAAGCCTGAGCAGCCTCCAAATTCTGGGTGACCCTTTTTGAGGCGTTGCTTAAGGCACGACACAGAAGCGGCTCGGGATATGTTGACCTTCACGTAACCCTACCCGTTCTCTGTTCAACATCACAACAAGACCCTTATGGCATCGAACTGAGCTGGTCCTTATAAAGCCCTAGAAGTTGTATCATGTGCATGAGACGGAGTGTCTACCTAGCCCGGCACCTGAAGGTGAATAGGGGCACGTCCACGGAGACTCAAATTCAGAAGCGGGTGGTCAGGCACCGCGTCTGCCAGCAGTAATAAGCACAAGTGGGCCCCCTCCACCCGCATAGCCCATCTGGTACAATGGCTGTGAAAGAGGTGCGGTTGGATCCTGTGGGCATATATCTTATGAAAGGGGGCGCGTGACCCGGCATCTGGGTGGAGGTGGGATTGTGCCCGAACAACTCCGTCAGTTGCAGGAGCACACCCACAGGGCATCTCCTCTTGTCGAGAAGATCGAACAGGTCTAGTCTGTCAGGGAGCATCGACCACATAATCAACCTAACTTCAAAAATTCATTACATGTCTGTTTCGAAGGGTTGCATGGAGCACATTGGACCTTGTTTCAGTGCATGTTTGGGTGAAAAGTGTTGCGGGTGTATCCTATGCGAGAGGTTTGGGGGTGGATCCCTCCGAAACAAATGGCCACACTGCAGCGGAGCTCATCGAATCTATGGCTTCACCAAGAAACTTATGTGAACCCATCCACTATAAATTCCGATTATCAACCTCCATTGAATCATGTAGCACTGCACACCCTGAACTGACCCGTGCCTTTGCTAGCTCAGGTCCGAAGACTCCCATACACAGAGGGCTGTGGCAACTCAGCAGCGCTGAAGTAGCGGATGCGAAACCTGTTGCGTTGCATCCCATGCATTGCGCCGAGCATATCTCCTCCGCTGGAAATACTCCTCGCATGGCCATGGGGGTTGGTCACCTGGCAAGATTATGAATGGTAGTTGTCTTTTGGCCCCCCATCCTGCTCATGAGGCCTCGAAATGTCCGGGGTGCGGTTAGGCACTTTGTGAGGCTTATCGCTATCAAACATTCTCATGACAAGAGTGATGAGGTATCCGTTTTCATCGCCTGGATATGCAGCTGCTCCCTGGCAAGCCGATCTCATGTAAGGCATGACCCAAACTGTGCCGGATACAATTACACTCTCAGCCTGTGAGTTGCTAAGTTGTAGCCATCGAGTATCTACAGAGGGCGGGTAGAAGCCCCATGCTGCGGCTAGTTCCTTGAGAAGGATCCATTTTGCATCCTAGGTTGCACATGCTCGGACCCGCTTGGTACACGAATGGACCGCTACTTGGGGAACTAACCTTGCAAGGCACAAGGCAGCCAGCTTCCGAAGGCTTCTATGCCTTGCGTTTAGCGCCGGAAGCGGCGGTGTGTCCCAAGCTGTTCACTGAGGCATGCACATGGGTCATCCAACATTGGCGTGACCGCTGCTTGACAGAAAGCGCAAAAAGAGTGATGAGCGTAGTGCCACGAATCATGAAACTGATAAGGGGGGACGACAAACAAACAGGTGCTCATGGCTGCAAAGTGAGACGCTACGTTCGTCAAAGCAGTCAGATTTGCTACTTTGAAACCAACCAAGGCTAGCAAATCACAAGCCAACACCCATCAGTCCACAAAATTAAATATCTGTGAAGCCCAGGTTGAACCTGGGCATCCGTATGGACACCAACCCTCCTATCGAGGCTTGATTTTGGCGAGGACTGGATCAGAACAGGTTGAGCCAAAGGATGCTTTTCAGATCAGTACAGACTACGCCTGTAAGACCCTGATTCGGAAAACCCCCAGAGGCTGCCCTGAACAAGATCCACCATGCATACAGTAAGCCAGAATGATCATTGCAGCTCGCCAGTGGATTCACCCTTTCATCGTAGGACGACTAGCTGAGTGATCTTCCTCACCACATGTCACGCAGCGTGCACGCACTGGGCTAACCCGGCAAAGATTTTTGGACATCAGTAACATCTCGCCCGAAGGCTGTACTTCTAAGGTCCTTGGGTCCAAGCTAAGACCACCAAAGCTCCAAACGCCAGAAGTTGAATCCTAAAGTCCTGAAGCCAACAACTCTAGGCAAGACCTACAAGCATCAAAACTAAGCAAAACACGTGAAACCCTTTAAAACACCCACAAAACCCTTAGCCAAAGGCAGCTCGACTAAGCTTCCACTTTGAATGCGGGCCTTTGGCCTGGCCTCGCCACGACGCGGGGCATCCAAAAAAGAAAATGGAAACTATGGGGATTATAGGGTTCTATTGTATTTTATTTGGGGATACTATGGAAAATGGAAATTATGGGGATTATAGGGTTATATTGCATTTTATTTGGGGATACTATGGTACCCCAATAATGGAGAATCAAATGGAAAAGAAAATGGAATGAAATGGAAGCTGGGGTTATATGGGGGCATCCAACTCTGTCCCATCCCAGGTTTCCCAGATCCCAAAACCGTTGAAGTACACGGGGTTCGACAGGCATTCACGATTTTAATAGCACGTTCGAGGGAGGTACAGGGAGGATAAGAATCCCAAACACAATTTTTGGGGGTGAGCTTCAGTCAAAGTAGAGCTTCATAGGGATTTTATTTGGTTAGCCTCTAGTGCCACTTGGAAATAATTAAGGTTCTGCACGACGGTTATAACGGACAATATCCAAAAGCCCCAATTGCCAACCAAATACATGGCTGAAATATGCATAGGTGCCTTTCTGAACTAACTCTAGTGAGGTCCTCACGATCGATTCCTGTAACAGTCCAGCACCCCGGATGATTTCCCGACTTTGCCAAACGCAGTAGAAAATGAGTCACTTAGGGCTTTAAAGAGATTTAAGCGATCTTGTCCAATCCGATTTTGAACCTAAGCGCATGCAATTGTCAGGCGAAGTGCTCCAAAACATTTCAAAAAGCAGGATGGGCGTGGCTGATGTTGTTCTACTCTGACAAGTGATCCTTTTTCAAGCCTTGCAGCCTAACAGTCTGGCTAATGATGATCCGTTTTGGAGTTTGGAGTGGAGTTTGTGCTTTCCTCTGGGTAATTTCTGCAGCTTTTGCAGCTAGAAACCGTCAGAAGCATCTTGAATTGCACGTAAAAAAATTGCACGAAACGTTTGAAGCTCATTTACCGGCAATTCTACGGCTGGTCTAGCGTTGAGGACGTGCTGAAGCTAAAGAAAAAGATTAAGCACTTTTAGCTGGAAGTTGCTTTGAAGGATGCCTTGCGGATAAGGGACCCGAAGCCTTGGGAGTGACTTTCCCCAAGCCCGGCCCAAGTAAAAGGAGCTCAAAACGCAGCGAAGACCTCTCCTGTTGGTGTGTTGTCAACATGATGAGTACTCAGCATGATTATACTCCCTTGGTTGCAACCGTTTGTAGCCTGGCTAGCACTCACATATCCAATCCTTTTCGGGCCAAAACCCCCTCCCAAACCATGCAACACCATAAAACTATGAT